ATTAGAGTCCAAACCATTCATCATAATTATTTAACTCACATACCAGCGCGACATTGTTTAGTGTAGCCGTGTCCCTTCATGCTGTCTTCCCAATAAACTCCCGTCAAATACCAATGTCTCTAGCCGATGGGCTTGAGCTTCTTCTTCTTCTTTTTCTTCTCGCCACCTGATCCTTTCTGGAATTGTCGCCAGCTGCTGATCCGCTCATCCCGGGTGGCTTCCCAATCCTGTTCATGCTGTCGCTTGCGCTTACGCTCTTCCACCTCGGCATCAGTACGTCGTTGTTCACGACCTTCTTCCTGGAGCTGGGCTTTCATCTGGCGACGTCGGCGGTGCTCGTTATCAATGAGAACATCTCGCGCTTTTGCACGCCACATCTTTCGGAACTCTTCCGTCTTAAGCTCTTCACTGTCGACAGTCCATTTGTTTTCGCGAATAAGCAACATTCGAGCGTCCGCAATAGCTTCATCTAGCCGTGCACGGTGCTTCTCGTCCATGAGCTCTGTCTGGGCTTTCTTTAGCCGATCGAAGGCATCTGGAGCCAGTGGGTTCTTTGTTTTATCGGGATGGATGAGTAGAGACTTCTTGCGGTACGTAACTTTGATATCTGAGTCAGGAACACCAGGTTGGAGATCAAGAACGGCATAACTATGAGAAAGTTAGATCTCAATGCAGAGAAATGACGAGGGTTTCACATACGCGTCGAGGCGAAATGCCTTCAAGATGCGGTCAATCTCAGCATCCTGGAGAGAGTCAGCGGGAGTCTTGATGACTGATCTAGTTGTCGCAAACAGCTAACCTTATCAAATTCTTTGGCCTCAAGCTCAAGAGCATCGAGCGCATCTTTATCTTCTTTCGAATCTTTGCTGGACATTATGGGCAATGATAAGTTTCTAGAAGTTGAAATGATGAAGAACCAACAAGGTTGAAAGTGAGTGAAGGATAGGTTAACAATAGGCGATAGACAGTCGCAGGGCCGGAACAAAGTGGCCCACTTATATGCCCCGCGAGATAAGATAACAGAAAAAATTATTGGGAAAGAGCTACTGAGACTCTTAGACTAGGTATCTTAATTCTACATACATATCGCTGATATCGACGACGAGTCACAATGCCACAACGCGGCGTCTCACCGACCCCTTCTGATGGAGAGATTGATATCTTTGGATCGTTATACCCCGGCGACGGCGAAGATGAGAACGGCGCCAACGATGGCGGCGCGGACTTCGACTTCGATGGCCTGTTAAACGCCCCAGAGCCCGGCAACGATGACAACGATGAGGCATTCATTGCCCTTCAACAGGCGGCTTCTTTTCGAAAAGCATCGAATCTCAAGGGCAGGACAGTCAAGAAGGGCGGAGGTTTCCAGGCCATGGGTAAGAATGGCAACATATGAGGTGAAGAGACGACTAATATCTTCCAGGTCTGAACAGCAACCTCCTAAAGGCCATCACACGGAAAGGTTTCTCGGTCCCAACTCCAATCCAACGTAAAGCCATTCCTTTGATTCTGGACAGAAAAGATTTGGTCGGCATGGCCAGAACAGGTTCCGGAAAGACAGCAGCCTTCGTTATTCCTATGATCGAACGATTGCGCGCGCACAGCGCCAGGTTCGGAACACGGGCGCTTATCCTTTCGCCTTCTCGAGAACTCGCGATCCAGACTTTGAAGGTTGTGAAGGAATTCAGCAGAGGGACCGACTTAAAGTGCGTTTTGCTTGTTGGTGGTGATAGCTTGGAGGAACAGTTCGGATCTATGGCCGCCAATCCCGATATTGTGATCGCAACACCTGGACGATTCCTTCATTTGAAGGTCGAGATGTCTTTGGATCTCTCTTCTATCAAATACGTTGTTTTTGACGAAGCTGATCGCTTGTTTGAAATGGGTTTTGCGGCACAGTTAACAGAAATTCTGCATGCACTTCCGCCTTCACGACAAAGTTTGCTCTTCTCTGCGACATTACCTGCCTCTTTGGTTGAGTTCGCCCGCGCCGGCTTACAAGATCCAAGTCTTGTGCGACTTGATGCCGAGACAAAGGTTTCTCCTGATCTTGAGAGCGCTTTCTTCTCTGTTAAGGGTGCCGAAAAGGAGGGATCTTTGCTGCATATCCTCCACGACGTTATCAAGATGCCAGTCGGTGCCCCAGTGAGCGCTGAGGACTCCGAAACAGGATCCAAGAAGCGAAAACGCGGTGCTGACGGTTCAAGTGGCAAGCCTACCGAGCATTCCACAATCATTTTTACAGCAACCAAGCATCACGTCGAGTACCTCGCCAACTTATTGATTTACGCTGGTTTCGCTGTCTCCTATGTCTACGGATCCCTTGACCAGACTGCACGAAGAATTCAGGTCGAAGATTTTCGAAGAGGCAAGACAAACATTCTTGTCGTCACTGACGTTGCTGCACGTGGTATCGATATTCCAGTTCTTGCCAACGTCATCAACTTCGACTTTCCTCCCCAGCCCAAGGTTTTCGTTCATCGAGTTGGTCGTACTGCGCGAGCAGGCCAACGGGGTTGGAGTTACAGTCTTGTGAGAGATACTGACGCTCCTTATCTTCTTGACCTTCAGCTGTTCCTTGGCAAGAGACTTGTTATTGGCCAGGAGGCCAAGAACCCATCATTTTCAGATGATGTGGTTGTTGGTGCACTAAAACGAGACCCTGTAGAAGCTCAGGTAGAATGGTTTAACAAAGCTTTGTACGAAAGTGAGGACATCTCAGCGCTACGAGGAGTTGCTATCAAGGCAGAGAAGCTCTACTTGAGAACAAGGAACTCGGCAGCTGGTTCAAGTGCGAAGCGATCGAAAGAGTTGGTCGGAAGTGAAGGTTGGACACAACTTCATGCACTCTTTGGTGAGGACGTTGATGGAGCTGAACAAGCGCGAGCCAATATGTTGGCTAGAATCAGTGGTTTCAGGCCTCAGGAGACCATTTTTGAGATCGGTGGACGCCGAGACAAGGGAACTACTGAAGCTGCCGAAGTAATGAAGCAGTTGAGAAAGAGAATTACTCCACGAAGGCAAACAGAGAAGAAGGATCACGACGATTTCGATGGCATTGATGACGATGTGCCAGTTGTTGCCGAGGTGGAGGCCATGGCCGATGAAGATGAAGACCAGATGGATGTGGACGAGGCCGCCGAGGAGTCGGATGATGGTTTGGAGGTCACCGTATCCAACGCCAACCCAAAGAAGGGGCAGACGGATTGGCGAGACTCGGAAGTTTTCATGTCTTACACGCCTCGGACATTCAACGCCGCCGAGGAACGTGGGTACGGCGTGTCGTCCGGTGGCCAGGACTCTTCCAACTTTGTGGAGGCTGCTCGTGGCGTGACCATGGATCTTACGAATGATGAGAACGCCAAGAGCTTCGGCGAGCCAACTCGCTCAAAGATGCGTTGGGACAAGAAGTCGAAGAAGTATGTGTCACGAGAGAACGATGATGACGGATCCAAGGGTGCCAAGATGATCCGTGGCGAGAGTGGTGTCAAGATCGCGGCCAGCTTCCAAAGTGGCCGCTTCGACAAGTGGAAGCGTGCCAACCGTCTCGGCAAGCTCCCTCACGTCGGCGAGGCAGAACGTCCTGGCGGTGCCAACCATGTCGCCCACATTCCCTCTGGTGTCCGCTACAAACACAAGCAGGAGAGGGCGCCAAAGGAGGCAGACAAGTACCGCGACGACTTCCAGGTTCGCAAGAAGCGTGTCGACGAGGCGAGAGAGAAGCGCGTGGGCCGTTTCCGCGACGGTATGGGAAGCAAAAAGGAACTCAAGGGCAGGGACGATATCCGCAAGGCCAGACAGGAGAAGGAGAAGAAGAGGCTCAAAAACGCCCGTCCTGCCAGGAAGAAGTGATTTGTCGATTGCAGTGGCATCTACGCATGGCGTTTGGTCGATTTGTAGAAAAAATAATGCGATTTGTTTCAATGGGTTCTTTCAGCACTTCAATGAGCTAAACTGTGTAGATATCCTTGAGTTTGTATCGGGATGTGTTGCCTTTGTCACGGGCCAAATGAGCCAGGGAATCACAGAGTTCCGAGCCAAACACTGTCTCTTTGAGAATTCTTACCCCTGAGCATCAGAGTCCCACGCTGGCTGGTACACACCAACTTCGTCCTCCAAATCAGCAACACATCGTTTTTTATTGCGATTTGAAACGTCTCTGGTTACAACTAATGTCGAATTTTGCCATAGCCACCCTTCTAAAACCGTAACTACAAATTCTTTTGAGGTGGCTAGAATATCGGTGAATAGGAGACACACAGATTTGCATACCCTAGGACACAGTGACATTACACAAGATGTTCAGCGAACCTCAAAACAGACAGCGATTTAAACACCGGCCATATAAATAGATACAAAACATAATAAGTCTTTGAAGTGTATCAGATTGCTCAGGATTGGCCACTTGTATAGTTTTCACTGCAAACCTACCTTACCGCGGCAACAACCAACATCACGAACGCACACAACATCACGAAGCTTTATATTCACCAAGCACAAAGAGCTGTCGTGAAACAGAAATCATAGCCAAAACATACCTGGATTCCATCTTCGGCCCGGCAAGTTAATGCTACCCCAATCATTGTCCCGGAACCCGATCACGGATAGCTACATGAGCCAACACCTTGATAAACCACTTTTTAATATCCGTCTTCGCTTCGCTGACTTCTATCGGTATTTTCAATGGGTATGGGTGACGGATGGAATCTATCTCTGACGTGTTTGGCTATTGTCGACAACAATACGCTGCTGTTTGCCCTGCAAGCTGATGTGATGTTATGCCAGCTCCCTCAGAGAGCTCACCTATTCAGACCTCTTAACCGCGGAAGATCACTCCTCGAAATTTTCAAAGGAGACTAAAGTCGAGCTGATTCCATTGATAATGGGAGCCCCCTTAAAACCTGGATTTGCAAAGCTGTCAACTTAGGAGGCCAGAAGTGAGAATCCAAGCGAATCACAAAAGAATTTCTAAACGAAGACCACAACCTCAAGATATCACAATGAAAATCACAAAGAAGCAGAGGCTGATAGCCACAATATGTATTTCTTTCTCGTTCTTCGCAGCTGAGTTGGCTGGTAAGTCAAATATCATCTTGGGAATCCTCACTGATAGCATATAGTTGGGTTCTATACTCGCTCGATCGCATTGATCGCCGATGCTTTTCACTACGTACGTAAATCCCTTATTGATCAAGATGGAGATGAATATCTGAAAACAAACAGCTTAGTGATCTCATCGGAATAGTTGTCGCTCTAATAGCGTTGATGGTAGGTTGCGAACCTGCACCTCAAGTGTCTTATGTAGCTTACCATGTTAGTTGCAAGAACATACGAAACCAGCTCCACAAGGATACACATATGGATGGCACAGAGCAACTATACTGGGTGCATTCTTCAACGGAGTCTTTCTTTTGGCACTGGGGATCAGTATCCTGCTGCAGGCTGTTGAACGATTCGTTCATTTGACTCGTGAGTTCTCAGTTGATATATGGGATCACAACTAGAGGAAGCTAACAAAACAGGCGTACAGCAACCTTTTCTGATCATGATAGTTGGTTGCGTTGGTCTGGCACTAAACATTCTCGTACTATCCTTCCTTCACGGTGAGAAAAGACTCCAGCCTTCTCTGATATTCGCGATAACACTCACTGACTTGCTTCTTCAGATCATGATCATGAACACGACCACCAGGGAGATAGACAACACAGCCATGATGATAGACTACAGAACCAGGAGACTACTGGACCGTTAACTAACGAGACAATAAGCCAGAGCATGGCAGGTTTGGCACACGTGAGTCTAACATGTAGGCAGTTATAGAGTCTTTGTCATTAATAATAGCTCAACAGATCCCCATGGACCACCATAATCATAGGCACACAACTATGTCCGTGAAGGGCCCGGGAAGGGACTTGGGTATGCTTGGCGTTTTCACTCATGTTCTAGGAGATGCCATCAACAACATCGGAGTCATCATTGCGGCTGTTCTGATCTGGCAACTCAAAGGAGAAGGTCGATACTACGCGGACCCAGCAGTGGGAGTCTTCATCTCACTCATGATTCTCCTATCAGCTCTACCTTTAGTCAAGAAAAGCGGCGCTATTCTACTACAAACTGCGCCTGAAGGCGTCAACCCTGAGGACGTCAAACGTGACATTGAGATGGTAGCAGCGTATAGCTCATTCTGTTCAGAGCCAAGACTAACAAGCATTTTAGATCCCTGGCATCATATCGGTGCACGAGCTGCATATCTGGCGCCTGGACCAACGCAAATTTGTCGCCTCTGCCCACATCGTCGTCGACAGTAGAACTGTCCAGGGTTTTGCAGACAAGGCTAAGATCATCATGGAATGTCTCCACGCATACGGGGTTCACTCAGCAACCCTACAGCCTGAGGTTCTCGAAGCGAGCCCCGTGATCATGCCTGACAGTGGCCCAGGGTCTCAGGACCAGGCAACTTCGATCGACGCCAATCACAGCGTATGCAGAACTCAACGGCCGCGAGGAAGTGAGCAAGAATGCCAGGTGATTTGCGGCAGCTCGTGTGATGGGCTGAGGTGCTGTGCACCAGTGCACCCTGAGTGATCGACAGCCTGGATGCTGTTTGCTACAGTCCGAGCCTGAGGCGAAATGTGACGAGGAGAGGGGTTTGAGGGGTCTGGGAGGGGCCAATTCGTCAAAGAAGTCGTAAAAGTTTATTCCTCAGTGGTTTTGTCACTTTTGTGGTCTCCCCCACGCTAAGAGAAAAGGGATATCCCTGAAATGACTTTAAGAAGCAAACAGGCTGTGACTGTGATGCGGCCTTTTGCCGCCGCTGTGTGTTCAAGTGGCGTTCAGACTTAACTTAGTGGGCAAGGGCTTTGAGTGATATGAATTAGTTGGCGGGTGAAGCCGGGGGAAACGTTGATGAGGCTTTAACATATGCCTCAAATAACGGGGTTGTGAATGGTGAATTGTGAAATGTGAGGATAGCGGGGTTGAAGTTCATAACTCGATGCTCGCAATACAATGGAATGCAGCCAAGCCTCGACTAACACTGCAAGTTTCACTATCAATCAGGTCAGGTCATTGCGTATTGTTAAGCTGTGTTCACGCACTGCAAGCCACAGAGCAAAGGGACCTCGCGGCTGAAGTGATGTGATGCATTTTCCACTGGATCAAAGACCCTTGACAGGATTGACAGTCAGCCTCATGAATGGCATATGCACAAGTCACACCACCACTTGCTTTGGACCCTTGAAATGTGATGGCGTGCTAATCTCGATGAGGAAAAGCTTATGAGCCACGCATTAAGAGATCTGAGGCCAGCCACCGTGATCCATTCGAGCATATATGTAGCATTTAAAAGCTAGGATGGCGATGATGGTGTTTTAACCTGGAGTGTGGTGAGCGAGGGTTTGGCGTTACATTGATGCAGGCAGCCAAATTAATGACATTGGGTTTTGAAGGTAAGATTGTCAATGTTCATAAAGTGACTTGACTGGAAGACATCTTGTCACAAGTCAGCTGCTCATTTCAGTGAGACGGTCAAGGGACGGCCCGCCCATCAACTAGTCGACCCAGGCCAATGATGATGACAGACGTCGAACAAGACTCACAGTATCAAGGTGACAGAGTAAGCGAACAGCTGCTATACCACCCATCTCATGACTGTGTGATGTGCTTAGAGTAACATTTGCCGACAAAGCATTAATAATGTTGCTCCCAATGGCCAAGATTCGCTGAAAGCTGTTCCTTGTGATCAGACGCGGTGAATCCTTGACCAGGATTATTCTGCGGTGGAAACACAGCTGTCTCCTTGACGTGAACCGGTCTGCCAGGACATGCCTGACACACATTTGAGCGCAACTGTAACCGTAATTTGGTGTGGGGAGTTGATATTGATCAAGTTCCGATCGAGTAACCTAGCCTAGCAAATCCGAGACGATGATCCGGATGCAATCTTGGGTTCCCAAGCACTCGGAGGACACAGCAGGGATTCTGGTTGGTAACCTCTCCAACCCAAGATGTGACCTGTAACAATCCGTAGCAAGGATGGAATAAAAGCTCATGCGGCCGCTCCACGCGCGCCCGCCGGAGTATGGTGGTTCATTTCATTTCATTGTCAGAGCATCTGCACCAGGGATCTTGAAGCAATCCCAAAGCTTCAAGGTGAATGGATATCCCGTATCTGCTGTAACTCGTCTATTTACGCGGAGACGAGACAAAATACCAGTAACCGCCAAAGGCTGGTCAATTGCGGAGACTGGGGCTGTGGGTTAGGGCGGTTGCAATGTACGAGGACCCTTTTTTCCTGCTGCAGCTCATAAGCTATGGTTACAGAAGCGAGAGTGCTGGGCGGTGAGAAAGAATGTTGAAGAGGAAGACAAGTGGAGTTGCGAGGGTGGAGGTTTTAATAAAGTTACACGTGATGAACGCCATGTTTGACATAGGTAGGTAGACCACAATGCATGCATACAAGAGACAGTAAGTTATGGTTAGAGTTAAGGAGGGATGCATATATTTTGAAACCTGATAGAGCGATATGTCATGGCAAGACATCAGTAGAGGGCAAACTATGTATGCAGCTGGAAAGGGAGTTGACGAAGCAACTTCTAGGGAGACAACTAAGACGATAACAACTAAAACATCAGCCATGATAGTTTATTAACTAAGAATGCAGCTATTCATATTATGGCTAGTGACTGCTGAAGTCGCTGGACTCTCAGACTGGCACTTGTGTTTGTTTTCAAAGATTGATATTAGGTAGCCAGTCTCTTTGGCTCCAAACGCACAAAATACCAAGATACATGCTGCTGCAGCCATATAATACTGTATGAAGCCGAGCAGGGGAGAAAAACAAGACTGAGACATGCGAATCGCCCAGATAGGCCACTCGTGTTGTTGACAGCTCATCTTGAGACATCAAGAAGGGTTATCAATTCCGTCGTCACTCTCATGTACCTTGATCATCACATCTAGAGGCTATTCAACAAGTGATCTGCAAGACAACTGCAGGCAGCCGGAAATTCGGACAGAAATTCCTCTTCACCGACAAGAAGGCAATATCGCAAGTCTGTTAATGAATACGTACCTTGACTGCTTGTCCTGCTGATAGTGATCTTTACCAGCGTCACGGAAAATAACAGATATGTGGTTGCAGTGGCCCGCTAACGGGATGAAGATCGACAGTCCAGACCTCGTGTGAGTATGTACTTGTACCGCTCCGACATAGCCTCGCACTCGACAGCCCCAGGTTACTGATAGTGAACAAACAGGCCAGACCCGGACGAGTCGGTATGTATCGAACTGTTGAGAACAACAGTGACTACGTGACTCATTCGCCACGGAGTGGCCGTTGATCGCGTTCTTTCTTGTTCCTGTAGATCACTAATGGAGGGGAAGACACAAGCGACATTGAGCCTCGAGGCAGCTTACCGCGGGGCATTTTGTGGCGGGACATGACGATGGCGATGCAACCCCACGACGCCTAGCATCCAATGGAATTAGACAGGCATTTGCTCTACGGATACAAACGTGCAAGTGGCCGTTAGGGCCGAGGCCTCAGACAAAACACTAGCCAAATGTTTAGTTGCTTGTTAGTTAGCTACCATATTCTCTTGTGAATGAATAATAATAAACAGTCACTAAACCGAGCCCTTGAGCCGAGAAGAGTCCAAGAGCTAATTATCCGTACCTGAGCGTGGAGCATCGTCTGTTTCCATGCCTGCTCGGCAAAGAGGATCATTCGAATCGATCGAACCCGAAGACACGGTTATGGTACTTCGTGGCATTAGCATGCTCAGCTCATATCCATTATTTAGCATCGTGCTGCCTGCATCACATTCGCAAGGGGGGCCATTGGCATCAAGAAGGATCAGGGATCAATCGGGATCCTCCTTGATTCAATATTCCGATGCTCTGACTGACCAGGGACTGGAACTAAGGAATAGGCGAATTCAGAAGCGTACAAAAAGTTACACAGTAATGTCAGGCTTCTCGCTGGCTTGATCACTGGCACTGGCATGGCAGTACGTATGTCTTGGCAGAATGTCATCCAATGTAATGTTGTAAGGGGGGCTCCCGCGTCTTGATATCCTCAAAAGTTCAAGCGGAGCTGTATCCGGCAATGCGAGTCAAGCTGTACGGATCGAGATGCCAATGGACACCGCGCGAGTCGAGCCCGAGTTATCCGTCGAGTAGAGTGATCCTACTAATTACGTACTGACTGAAGGATTCTACGACGGAGCCACCGGAGAATTTTTCATTTCTCACGGCACTTCAAGTTCGAGTCGAGTGGGTGAGCGAGCGAGCGAGCGAGAGAGAGAGTGTGAGATTGGGGTGAGGGAAAAGTTCAGTAAATTGGAGGTTGCTGAAAAACAAGCTCATCATCCTCCACACCATCAACAAACAAATTCGCATCCATCTCGGAGCCGACTCGTGGATGTGCTAATTAAGTCAAGGACGTACAGCGCACCACACACACACACGCTCTCTCTCTTTCTCTCAAGTTGCATGTACAATAGCGTCATGTGTACGGTGCACGTTTTCTTGAACCAATAGAACAGAGGCCAACGGGTAGGCCAATGCTACCAGCCGATAGCGGCGGCTTGCAACTGCGCGCGTTGGTGATGGCATTGTGATGACCAGAACAAGGGGTTGTGATAATCTCATACAAAATACCCTTACCTTGCCTAACTACATGTACAACTACAAGAAATACTTACCTTACATTACATGCATTACAATTGGGCTGCGATCGATACGCGCAATTTTGAAACGCTTACTGGTCGATGCCTTATCGATCATCCATGTCGATGAATTCGCGCTCGTAAACTGTTCGCTTACCGATTCACTTCCCTTCAGTACCTGCTGTATCTCGAGTACAAGCCCTCCGAAGCAGATCACGAGACAGCCGAGGACAGGACAGGACAAGGCAGGGAGTTGACTTGACTGTGGCACCGTTACCCATGGCGTTCTTTAGCCGGCTTCTTGATGCTTGGCCTCGGCATGTCTAGCTTATACCGTAGTCGCTAGTGTGCGCGATGGTTGCTGTGTTGAGGATTGGGCTGAGTTAGCAAGCAGTTAGTGAGTTAGTTGTGGAAGCTCTTGTAAGAGGAGTGTCAAGTTCAAAGTTAACGTTGCTGCGTATTCGGACTTGTGGAAGTCAGAGAGTCAGTCAGTGTTGTAAGTGTGTAGTAATTGCAACACCGGAGAATTTGATAATGTACCCGGAGCTTTAGAAGACGTCCCAACCTGGTCTAGGCGTCTATGAGTCTACAGCAGTACTGTAGAGCACAAGCCATCGACATGTCAGAGCACACCTAGAGTTCCACTATCATGACCGTCACCATGGTATTCAATCAGAGGCCCTGACCTTGTCTGCCATGTTTTGAACCCCGGAGTTTCCATTATCTATTTGTCTGCCTTACTTATCCAGATATGCCTGTTGAGTCTCGAGGGAGAAACAGTCAAGACAGTCGAGTCTTTCTTGTCCTGGGGAATGTATTGGGGCTAGATAATAACGAAGTACCACTCAAAATACGTTTGCGTCTCTTCTCTTGAGATGCTGAGCCTCACGTAATGATTTCCAATGACCAAAATAGGAACGAATTCCTTCTCTTTCGTTTACTTGTGAGACGTGAGCTGCTGGTCTGGTCTTGCTGCGACTCTGATCAAAGTATCAGTACTACACATCTACTGCAACTCTTT